GTATATGTCACAAGTTTAATAAAAGTATCAACAACCAATTCAAAATGTGGCTTAAGAAGAAAAGAAAAAAAAAGCCTTTAAAATATGGTTAGAAACTTTAATATATTTATTTTTAAGTCCCTTTACCAATATACGCTCACGTAATATTGCCCTTGTCAATAAGCCCCAATACCAAAAAAGCAATAAAAAAGTTGGTCTCAATTTGTTAATTCGCTCTGTGAGAAACGAAATGCAGCAACAAGTTAAGAAAATCTCTGATTTGAGTTTTTTTGCGAATCCTGAATTTGTGTGGGTGTGATTGAATGGTTTTGATTGAATAATTGATGTTGCAGGGGAGTAGTAGTAGTAGTGGATCTGGGATGGAGGTGACATGGGAGGACCAGCAGAACATCAATACCTTCAGCCGTTTGAACAACAGATTCCATGACCTCGACGACGAAATCAAATCCGCCAAGGTCCATCTCTTGTTCTCAATCCGTTGATTTGGGGTTATTTGATTTGTGTTTCGGCTTCCGATTCTAGGGTTTTTGAGATTAGAATAGGTTTCAATTCACCTCTAGTAATTAGGATTCAATTCGCCATCTTGCATCGTTTAGGTTGTGGAATTCATAGAGAGATTTTGGTTTAATCAGACAAGTTTTTGCCCAGTTTCGTTTTGACCGGTTTAAGCTCAGCTAACTGATTCACCCATTGTTCATGTACTGTGAGCACAACTACAATTCAATACAAAGCTAATTACAGTGATCCTGAGAGTATGATTCAGTCTTGGTTTAGTGCAGGATCATGATAATATATCTGAGAGAACGCCTGATTTGATTGATTGGTGTTAACAACTTTGCAAAGATTGGTGAATGAGTTTATCAGACTTTTGTAATTGTGTGTTGAGCAATGATTGGTACTTATCATACTCAATGATTTCTGTTATTGGAACTTGTAGTTAGATTCAATGTTTGTGATTGCTTTCCTTGTCTAGAATTGTTGCAAGAGCCTTGGATGTGATAACAGCATTATAATGGATGTGTTTCCTGCACATGTAGCTTGATTGAAAATTTTGGTAATGCAGGAAAAGTGTGATAATCTAGAGGATGCAGGGAACGAGCTGATCCTTGCTGATGAGGAAATGATCCGGTTTCAAATCGGAGAAGTGTTTGCTCATGTGCCGAGGGACGAGGTGGAAACAAGGATAGAAGAGATGAAAGAGGCAACTTGCAAAAGCCTCGAAAAGCTCGAGGAAGAGAAGGAATCGATAGTGTCACAAATGGCAGAGCTGAAGAAGGTATTGTATGCTAAGTTCAAGGACTCTATCAATCTTGAAGAAGATTAATAGATCCAACTTTGATGATTGTACTGAATGTTGTAGACCAGGATTCTCGAATTTAAACATATTGGTTTTGTTCTCTATGGATCCATGACAAGAGTTTTTTGAGATTCATGACAAGGTGCTTTCTCTGGTGTTGGTTCCACTTTGATATATTGAAACTCTGATTGAACTTTTTTTTTTGTGGCCATGAGATTTCAATTCTATATTACCAACAGAAGCCAATTTTCAATTCTATTACACATTCAAACAACACAAAACACACACAAGGATCTTTTGGAATTCCTCCAACACCAAAACTTCTGCAGCTTCAAGCAAAACGCAAGAAATGTGATCAAATCGGAGTATAACTCGACGGTGGCCGGTTTCCTGCAGCTCCGGTTACGAGGCCACCTTGACGAGCACTTTCTTCATCGAGAAACAAATCATCGGTAGTACGAAAAGCTGCGTGAGCCCCGACGATGAGCAAACCGACTATTAGCGAAACAAGAACATTTTCTCCCACATCTGTATACACCAAAGCCAAAATCGTAACCAAGCTGAGTAAACCCAGCACGATCCGATCATCCACTTCTTTACCCGAAATCACAATCGGATCATTAGCGTCTCGAGAGAAATAGAGAAGAATCCATCCGATGAAGACGACGATAAATGCGACCATAGAGGTCGGATGGTAAACCAAGCCGAGGAAAACAATGACGAGAACGGCGAGAGCGTAGTTCGCGCGGAAATAAGAGAGGTTGTGCCTTAGATGCGCCATGGCCTCGTCGTATTTGTGAGGGAGAGAGAGCGCGGAGAGATCGAGAAGCTCTCGCCATGGACGGAGCGTTGTGATCATCGATTGCGTCGTCTGTTTGGCGCGTGCACTCAACGTTCCGATGATTGTGTTGGAAGAGGAGGAAGAAGAAGGT